GTTATCAGGGACAAGGCATTGGTTAGGCAGTTCACATGTATGAGCTCATTAGATCTTCACAGTGACCATTTTGCTGTTGGAATTGAGGCTCAGAGAGGTTAATGAAGGGCTCCACATTCCACAGTTGGGAGACTAGCTTTCTGGGGCAGGCGTGTCAGACTCTGTAGACCTTATTGTATCCAGCTGCCCGGGAAGAGTTAAGAGACATGATCATATGTGTTTCCTGCCCACAGGAGCTTACGGTTCAAGAGGCAGAGAAAGCAAATGCAAAAATATTGTCAGAGAGATGCAAGAAAGGTTATGGGGATTCAGAGGAGGGAGAGCTTGCATCCAGATGAAAAGGATGACTTTCTGTAGAGATTTTATTACATGCTTCCTCAGAGATCATGCTGGTGTCTCAGTTTTTCCAGCTGGACTCACACTGGTGTCTAGTCTGGTGTATTTTAAGCTTTTTCCTTGCAGAGTACACGTGGGTGAGATTGAAGAGGTATGAATACACGTAGTTCTATTGTATGAGCTCCTACATAAGCCTGTTGCAGATAAAACTTTAGGGGCATGGCATCACGTGTTACCTCCTGATTCCAGAGAAAACAGGAACAAGGTCTCAATTTTTTTTTAATAGATCAGAAGAAGACTCCTCTTTGATGCTCCTGTCTCTGACACTGGCCACCAAAAAGTCATGAAACATACCTTCAGTGGTCCTATTTTCATCTTTTATACCACTGGTCTGGAATGGTAATAGTGGAGATGGAGAGAATGATGAGATTTGGGACATATTTTGAACTGGAGCTGGTAGCTTTTTTAAAGACTTGCCCGTGGGATTGGATATGACCTGCATGAGGTTTCCTCTCCATTATTTTCCCACCCTGTGGAACAATGGCTGCCATTTTGTCCACAAGCCTCCTAGAGAACAAGATTTCATCTGCTTTCATCTGCCAAGCTTGTTCCCCAACCAGGCAGTGAACTTGGAAGGGAAGGCATGTTTCCCACTCAGTGCCTTTCGGGTGCTCACTCAATGTTCTGAGTGACCTTCACATTGGACAGAACTCTTATTTTGAAGAAACTTCCTCTCCCAGCTCCATTTCTCTACTTTTGCCCCTGGCGATCCATATCCATTCCTTTTTTGCTATCCTTGGAAAAGGAGATTCATGCCTGCACACCTACATACAACCTTAACATCCATAGAATGACTTGCATGTTTTTCCAAAGTATTAGAGCATGATTTTAAATATCTAAAAATAGTACTTATCATTTGTGTGATTTGGTCTTTATAGGCAAGATACGTATGCTCTTCAGTTTCATCTACAAAATGGGCCTGATAATGCTCCATGAACCCCTTCCGGTGTTGTGTTAAGAAGCAAATGAAAGTATGCATTTGAAAGTGCCGGGAGAAGAAAAGGCTAATTTGATACAAAGAAGTTGTGGTTTTTAAAGCTCTTAATTCTTGTAACTTGGTGAATTTGATCTGGGCCGGATCACTGCTAGGTCCCTCAATTTTATGTTAATTTAGGTGGCTTCCCCCCCCCCCCCATGGTAGAAAAAGACCTTCTTCCAGCATTGCCTTGCTCTGACTTTCTTACATGCTCTCAGAATTTGTTTCAAGGATGGAGCATCCCGCCACTTTCACCTTGGGCTGAGCTAATGTCTCCTCTGAACAGTGAGCTGGGGCTGGGGAGTCTAGAACAAATGAAGGGAGCAAAAGTTTGCCTGCTGATGATAGTGTAGGTCTGCTATGAGAGGGAAGTGGTCCAACTTTTCTCCAAATGACTAGATACTCAGAGGCGGCTATTCTTCCTTGAACGTGAAAGGCCTCTTCACATCATTTTTTTCAGTTTATGAAAACCTGCACCTAGAATCTAGCGTCTGGATTTTTCTTCCTCCCCTGTCTTCTAGACAGTAAAATTGTTAGAGTTTCTTCAGACTGTTCACGTGGAGACAGTTGTTTTATTGACAGATATGTGTTCCTATAAGGGATAAACTCTGTATTTTCCAGAGAATACTCATAGAAAAAAACCCCCCAAACACAAAGGGTTTTAACTGGAATCATCCTTCTGAGAATTTCTCCCCGTCATTTATACATGCTCAGGCTTAGTGTGACTTGGTCATAACATGTCAGAATTCAAAGGAACCGTAGAGATTCCATCCCCTCTTGTTTTTTAACTTGAGAGAAGAGTAAAAATTAGAATAAGGACTAGACCTCAGGGCACGTGGCGTGCTGTCTATACCACAGCAGTTGGGGAGACTCAAAAGGAGACTTTGGGCTTGTCTTACCTCAGCCTGATCCTTTCACAGATGAAAAGACAGACTTCTATGAACTTGGGTCTCCTGGCTCCTGACCATGTTTCTTCTTTAATCACCAAATATATAAAATCAGATCCTCTCCTTTCAGGAAGCAGAATATTCCAAAATAAGGCAGATAGTCTGGGGTTTCGTGTAGCTGGGTCTCTCTGCTGTATTCATAATTGATCTGTAAGAAAGCATTTTGGAGTTTAAAAGCCCAGTGCTTTCTAAAAATGGCTGTAGTTTTGGTAGGATTTGGTCAAAAAGAGGTGTGTACCCCATCTCTTGGCCAGTAGAGGGCGATCAAGTTAATACAATCTCTGAGCTGTTGGGCTTTCAATTAATGTACAGATATGAATAAATAAAACAAAGAATCAAGTTAGCCTAAATGTTTTAAAATAAACCCTTTAATCAATATCCACTAAAAGGAGGAAACACATTCTGCTTTATATACCGTAGTCATTCACTGAGGAGTATTATGGAGTTATAGCACAGCCCAGAACAGTTCATTCATTGAGCTCCTGAAATCCAGGCAGCTCGTCTTCCATCATTGTCAAGGCTCTGGTGACCAACAGGTAGAAGACATGCATGGGACTTGCCATGTGTTTTTGTAACATTTGTAGAATTTTCATATTAACAACAACACAAAGCCATACTCTGCCGGAGTGAAAGGCCCTCTTATCAAATGTGATGGGGAGTAGCTCTTAATTCATTCTTCATACCTCCCTCTCCCTCCCTATTCAATTTTCAAGGACTCAGCAATAAACAGATCAGTGGTGGAGGTTTCCGCCTCCCAGGCTCACTCCACAGGCAGCATAAATCAGGTCTGCTCTTGATTCGAGCCCTTGGGCAGGTTGGCAGTATTTGGAAACAGAATGAATGGCCCATGGTCAGTGGGGTTTTCACAATCTAGGGACATGGGCAAGATGAGTGTGAGAGCGAAGGCAAGTACAAATTCCCCGGTCATTCATTCATTCATGCATTTGGGAACCATTCGTTGAACCCCTGATGCGTACCAGCCACTGTGCTAAAAGCCGGAGAAAAAAATAGGAGTAAGACATCTGGCTTCATTGAGGGAGCCACGTTGGACCATTGGACCATTTTCTTGAATAATAATTGCATTAAAAATACTAAAGGAATATCAACTTTCATTGAAGTTCTATTTGTAGTTGTAACATCTGAAATGTACTGGTCATTTACCGGGTGCCAGGACTCTGCTAAACACTTTACATGCAATATTTCACTGACTCCTCATCGTATACTTATCCTACAGATGCTGTTTATAATTTCTCGAAGCACAGGGGTATTAGGTAACTGGTCCACGATTATGTCATTTGTATATTTAGACACACAGGAACACACACTGCTCGCCCACAGTAAGAGCCAAATCGATGCTTAAAATGCTAAGAACATGCTAGTAAAAATAATAGCCATGGCTTAATGAGACTTGCTATGTGTCACATGCTATGCTGAGTGATTTAAGTCTTATTTAAGGCCCTCAGTGGTTCTGGTGCAAGGACTGTTGCTATTGTCCTGTTATAGGCGAGGAGGTGGTTAAATACCTTTACTCAAGGTAATATGGCAGCACGTGCCAAGAGTCAGGATCTGAACCAGAGTCTCTTTTCCAGAGGGAGATGCTTAACAGGACACAGGTGGATTTTTAAGCTGTAATGAGTGTAAGAATCACCTGGGGGCATACTCTTTGATCCCATTCTAGGGCTTGCACCCTAATCATCAATAAGAAGCATCTGAAAAGGTTTTTTTAAAATGACCTGCTTGGCCCCACCCCAGATCAGTTGAACCAGAACGCCTGGAGGTGGGAGTTGCAGCTTCCAGTAAGTTTAACCTTTACCCAGGGGGTGAACTGCTTCCAAAGGTCTGGGGTGGAGCTCGGGAACCTGTGTTTTGGACATTCACCCCAATGAGAAAAGGGGCCTAAGCCCTACTGTTAACTAAGCTAAAGTAAACTACCAGGAGAGAGGAAATGGTTGTCCTCGGTGCAGCTCATGGGGATGGAGGGAATGAAGTCCCCAGCAGGTCAGGACTAGAGTGAGGTGCCTGGATGCTGGATTTAAGGGCGCACATGTTGTCGGGATTGTGTGGGAATGCGGGGAATCCCTGAACTGTGCAGCCCAGACACTGCCTCTGCCTCACCTGAGTTCGCCATCTTAGATTTGGAGATGTCACTGAGGGAGAGAGAGGAGGCCGGGAAAGATAAGGTTGAGAGATTTTTAAAAAGGTTGAATCTAGGGGCACCTGGGTGGCTCAGTGGGTTAAAGCCTCTGCCTTCAGCTCGGGTCATGATCTCACGATCATGGGATCGAGCCCCACGTCGGGCTCTTTGCTCGGCAGGGAGCCTGCTTCCCTCTCTCTCTCTGCCTGTCTCTTTGCCTACTTGTGATTTCTGTCTGTCAAATAAATAAATAAAATTAAAAAAAAAAAAAGGTTGAATCTAGGGGCAGGCGATTCAATTCCTGAGGTTCCATTCAATTCCTGAGGCAGTTTTACTGTCTTATGCTCTCCATTTCAAAGATAGCAATGGGAATCTCAGGTTGTTGGTTGTTGGTTGTCGGCCCAACACCACAATGCTTTAAGTGATAGACCTGGGATTTGAACCCAGATCGGTCTGACTCCAGGGTCCCTCCTTTGGGCTGGCTCCCCAGAGCTAACTGCCACCTGAGGGCTGAGGGATGGGCCTCTGCTGGTGAGGAGAAACTCGGATGGTGGGACTGGCACAAGTGGGACGGCCTTGGAAGAAGGACCGTGCTAAACGTCCTTCTTCCTCGGGTAGGTGAGGTGCTCACCAAGGAGTAGTCAGTCACCAGGTCTGTGGCTGAAGGAGAGCTTCAAGGCTGAAGTGTGCATAGTCAGTGTAGGCAGCACCCAGCGGCTTCCAGCGCAGTCCCAGTACAGCGTTCCACTTACGCATCGGTCAGGGGAGCCAGCTAAGGTCAAGTTTAAGGGTCAGTGTCTCAGGCACAGACAGGTTCATGAGTCCATCTGAGTAGGAAGGGGCTGACCAGCTCCCTAACGGGGGGTGGGGGGCAAGAATGAAATCAGAGTGACCTCCAGTGATATGGCCACGGAAAGTGCCGATGAGCACAAACGTGCAAGTTACTACTGGGGCAAGGGACAGAGTTGTGTGGAAGGTCACCTCAAGTCTCGACCTTACCTCAGGAAGCAGTATTCTGGTGCCCAGAGAAGGAAAATCCTCAAGTTCCTCCAGGGTGATGAGCTTAATCAGGGCCGGCTCCAAAATTCCTCATGGAGATGGTTTTATAAAACAAATTCTTTTAAATAAAACAGACCAGCAGATGCTGATTGAGAAGATCTGGAGATGTTCTTGGGTAGCTTCAAAATCTCTCCAGCTCATTCCAATCACTGCAGGCTGAGTGCTACAATTCTAAATGCTTAAAGTCACAGAATAACAAAAGGAAGTGAGGAGGGTGACTCCCCGACCCTGCTTTGGGGCATCTCCCCAGGGGAAAGGAAAACAGAAATCCAGGACTTATCTGCTCTCCCTTGTTCATTGCAGCAGCATTCACGACAATGGAGACATGGAAATGCCTAAATGTCCACCAGCAGATGAATCAGTAAAGACATGGGAGGTATATGTGTGTATATGATGGAATATTATCCAGCCATGATCACGTGGATGGACCTTGAGTGTGTTATGCTGAGTCAAGTAAGCCAGACAGGGAGACAAATACTGCATGGTATCATTTATATGTGGAATCTTAAAAAAAAAAAAAAAAGAAAAAGAAAAAGAAAAAAAAATTCAAATTCATGAAGAAGAATTGAAAAGTGGTTGCCAGGAGCTAGGGGGTGAAGAAGTAAAGAAGGATTGGTAAAAGGGTACAAGCCATCACATATAAGATGAATCAGGTCCGAGAATTTAATAAAACATGGTGACTATAGTTGAGAATGGTATAGTGTATAGTGGAAGTCTGCTAAGAGAATAGAACTTAACTGTTCTCACTGAAAACAACAACAACAACAACACAAAGTCTGTGGTAATTAACTAGATGGGATCCTTTCACAAGCTATATGTATATCAAATCATCACAACGTATGCTTTAGATATTCTACAGTTTTGTCATTTATACCTCAGTAAAGCTGAAATTTACAAAAAATGAAGAAGTTATGTGGCTTACAGACAAAAGCCCCCCAAAACTAATACTAGAAAGCCCTGGAATATTTATATTATTTTCACATCAAGAGTCAGTTCCTTCCATAAACATAGAGGATAGGTGAGTCTGTTTCTGGGATAGGATGCATTTTGGATTTTGCTCAAGGCTTTAATGATTAAGAATGATTTCTCATTCTTAAGTCTGTAATGCAGTTGAATTTTATTTACCAGCATTTTTCTTGAGCAGAACACTGTATTTGTTTGGGAGAAATGCTCTGAGAATTGCATAGGAAAGGGCTGGGGAGAGGTGGAGGCCTCCAAGACATGTTTAAGGCATTAAAGATGTTCTACAAATTCCATAGCTTTTTTTTTTTTTTTTAAGATTTTATTTATTTTTTTAAGATTTTTTTATATTTTTTTAAGATTTTTTTTTAAGATTTTATTTATTTTTTTGACAGAGATTACAAGTAGGCAGAGAGGCAGGCAGAGAGAGAAGGGGAAGCAGGCTCCATGCTGAGCAGAGAGCCCGATGTGGGGCCCAATCCCAGGACCCTGAGATCATGACCTGAGCCGAAGGCAGAGGCTTTATAACCCACTGAGCCACCCAGGCGCCCCAAATTCTGTAGCTTTTGAATGAGGCCAGGTTATGTGTCCTCCAAGAGCCTCTGTTTTCCCAAGAATCTTGGTGTTTGGGTTTGCAAGTTAAGCACTCAGAGTGTTGTGTTAGGAAGCAGAATTCTATACAAAAGTAATTTGAAATTTCCCAAGGGAGGTAACAAGATCTGGGAAAAGAGAGCCAGTGTAGCATGGTGGCTGAGAGGGGTTTAGAAGAGGAGAACTGTCTTTGGATTTTAATTTTTAGTGAAATGCTTTGCACTTGAGAGCATGATCTTTTCCTATGACTCCATCACTCTTCAGTATAGACTGCCAAGAAAAAGAACAGGAGAGAGCACGAGCGGAGCCAGAAGGGAACAGAGGAGGTGGGGGAGGGGAAAAAGGGAGAGGGGGAAAGGAGAAAACAGAGTGGGGAAGGCGAATTTGTTAACTTGTGTTTCTATCTTTTACTTTAGAACATTCCTATTTGAGCCCTGTGCTAGATGTGTGTAAGATGTGTAAGATGTGTGTAAGTTGTATGTGTGTAAGTTTACCCATGCCCTGGGAACAGCCAACATTTGAAGTGCCCTGGAAAAGAATGCACACTGCTGAGGGTAGCATTTGCAAGGCACTGTTGGGGAGTCAACGGTTCAAAGGCAAAACCACAGTCAGCATTCCATATCTAGATCTATGCCTAGAGATTTTGTTGATCAGCATGAGAGTTGTTAGAAATCAATTTTTATTGATAAAATGAAAGACATTCAAGATGCATGGTTTGGCTAGAGATATCATTTAAGCCCACCGCCCTTGAACGAAGGAGCTATGAGGATCTAACAAGCCCCAAAGCCTTATACTCCTTTCTAGTGGTGCCTTCAGCTTACTTAGGGCTCAAGTTAAGTCCTACATGTAGCCGATTATCAGAGGATTTGGTTGCCTGACTCCAACGAGATTGGCTGAATTCTGCTGCTGATATAATGTCACATTTGGCTCCAGTAACCCTTGAGAGCATCAAAGAACAGAGAGATGGTGCCTCACCAGCACACCAGGCCTGAATTCTTGTACACGTGCTCATAAACACAATTCTGTGTGTGTTGTAGAAATCAGTCAAAACATGTTTGCATTGCAGCATCCCACGTGGTTGGGGAGGGGACACAGCCCCAGCCCGTGTCTTGTTACTGGAAGACATCGGTATGTACCCAAAAGGTCTGGCTACCTGTGAACGGCCATACTGGCTTAGACCATTCTTAGGCATTCTAAGCCTAGACTTCTTGTGGGAATCTGTTAAAGGTCTGAGTTGTGATACCAGGACCATGAATCAGAGTAACAAATTATATATTTATACACACACACACACATATGGCATATTTGGCAACTAGTGGATCATTCTCATTCAGGGATGACTTTGCTAAGTGATGTCAGAAGACTGAGAAATCCAAAGAGGGCAAGATAGGTACCAATGCTGGGAGGCACTGGGTGGATATCAGGAAAGGCTTGATGGGGGATATATACGTGAGGTGAGCTTTTAAAGATGAATGAGATTCTCAGCATACCAAGATTAGAGGCAGAATAAGAGGAGAAGGCTGTCTGGAAGGGGACATTTAAAGTGTCAGGAATGGTCATGGGATCATGGGGAACGGGGACATGATGGAACCTATTTCGAGAATTTTGAGGAGATGACATTTCTTCTCCCTGATTTCTCTGGATAGAAGGTGCTTACCTCTTTTTTGCCCACTTTCACACAGAGTTGTTTGTAGCCGTGGTGGGGTCATACAAGATGTTGGCTTGTCTGTTTTCCTTGCACATGAGAGTAGGTCTTGCCTTTTTAATCTCAAACATAGAGAAAATGGAGGAAGACAGGAACCCTTCCACATTTCAGCACCAGAACCACCGATCTGCATCTGTACCCTCTTTTCTTTCCTCCCTATTTCTATAGAGATGGTGTTTCAGTCTCTCTCACCTTCTCAAAGTCTTTCCTCCTGCAATTGTATCTTCCTTTACTCCTGAGTCAGCCCATTATTCCTTCCCCACTTGCTCATTCCCATCCTCATTCAAATATGCTCCAGGATCTCCTACAGGGAAAAAAATTGATGTTTTTTGTTTCCCTCCAGCTTCTATTCTCTTTGCTCCCTTCACATAAAATTTGAGGTATTTGTCTACCATCCCTCGTCCTAGCTCCTCGATAGCATTTTCTTCTCAACTCACCTGATAGACTTCCCTCCCCTCACTTTGCTGGGGGCATGACTGCCAAGGTCACCAGTGATCTCTGCATTGCCAGATTTGGTAGGCGATGCACTGTTCTTATCTACTGTGACCTTAAAGTAGAATCAGATACAGTCCGTCACAGCCTCCTTGATGATTTCTTAGAGCTCACAAGACTCCACATCTTTACTTTACTCTTCTTCATCTTGAACTGGCCTTTCTACCTCTAATCCATCTGTAAGTGCGGCGTCTCTTATGGGTCTGCCTGGGAACCAGCTGCTGTACATGCCAGGCCTTTTGCTCCAGCCCCAGTAGCTTGCTAGTTCTCCAGGACTCGTGTCCCAGTGTCCCACAACAGACTTGGCATCTACACGTGGATCTCTGCCATGGATCCCCAGCTGACCATGGTTAAATGAAACTCTTGCATGTCCCCCATGAACGTCCTCCATGTTGCAATTTTCAAGTAAAGGGTCTGAACCCTCAGCTGATGGCTAATGCTAAAATAACAAAACACAATACCTGGTAATTCGATATGAAGCAAATCTTACAGACTCTACTTCTAAAACGAATCCAAAGATTTCAAGGATCTCTCATGGTGGCCCATCACACTTAGAATAAAGTCTAAACTCCTTACCCTGACTTTTGTAGCGTGGCAGGACCTGGCCCTTCCCTCCCTACCTCCGGTGTCCGTGTATAACAGCCCCACCCCACTCGTTATGCTCCAGGCGGTACTGGCCTTTTTGATCTGTGAACATGTTGAGCTCTTTCTTGCTTCAGGGCCTGGTACTGTGTATTTTCTCTACCTGTATTTTTTTTCCCTTTAAATCTCTGTATGGTTTCTTCCGTATAGTCTCGATCCAGACGA